AAGAAAAACATGTGAGATAATGAAAAGATGGAAATAAAGTGTTTGTAGATGGGGAGGGGAGGAGCGGGTGAAGGGAGGGCAGGGGTAAGGGGAAAAAATGAGAATCAAGACTTGTCATGTAGAGGTACAAGATCCCAACAATGAATGTAACTGTACTGTATCCCTAAAATGTACCAATAAACTCAATTAAAGCTGAAAAAAAAATCATGTAAGAAAGCACGGGACAACAAAGGCACCCTGAAATTTTATTAAGAAATGATACTCCATATGGAATAGGTAATATAAAAGAAAAAGTTAATTTATATCTCTCATGATATAAAAATCATTTTATTTTACTTATAACTCTGAATTGATACATACCAGTTTTTCAAGTAAAACTGAAAATTTGATCATAATCTTTACTAATATAGTCATTTAAAATAAAATTTATCTTTTATTTTAATCAAACCTAACAGGTGCTTTTGCTCAGCAAAATTAGCATGGAAAATTATTTTCATGCCTGGGAAATTCTCCCTACTAAGACGAAGCTCACAGAGACAGACCTTATCTTTCTTTCAATTCCTGTCCTTGTTCCCAAATTAAAATGTATATTCTTTCCAAATCCAATTCTATATTCCCCTTGTAAATGTTTCATATTCATGTTTACAAAGTCTTCCTCTGAAATTGAGGCTCTCAAAAATTTCTTCAATTCTTTGTAATTTGTAACTATTATTTAATATATTTATATTAAATAGCAATAATTCAGTCCCAGGTATGCCACAGTTCATGTGGCTTTGTAGTACTTATCCTCTATAGACCATTACTTTCTTGGTGCAATCTTACATTGTCAGTTTTACACAACTGAAGACTTTTAACAGCTACTGATAATTACTGTTCAGAAACACTATTTCATTAGGGGCTGTAAAGTGGTGATAAGATTTCTTCCACATTTATTAGCATGACTTCTTCTTGAAGACTTTGTTAAATTATTTGGTTACTCTTTGCATAGAACAGGCAGGATAAGTTTTAAAGCTGGTACCCTAGAAATTTCCAAAGCTGGCTAAGATTTATTTTTAGTATTACTATAAACCCCCAAATATCTATGTGTTGTGTTTATCATAGCATGTGTTTAGGCCAGCAGGAACAGCTTCATGTTGGCTCCTGTGTACATATGACATGAGCTGAGCAGTCTTTTACAACTTCCTTGTTTTCTGATGTGACAAGATATATAAGATCATCTTGTACATGTTCTACGCCAGTTCTGCAATCAGCTATTTCCCAAAGATGCCTTGATTACTTTTAGTGGAAACTACAGGAGGGTATCAAAGTGGGTAGGATATGAGTTTTTAAAAGATTGAGGATCATGCTTTTTTGTATTCAGCCAGAAATCAGCATACTTTTAAAGCTACAGAAAAAAAAAGTCTCAAACATAACTTCTAGTTTCTCTTTCATTTTCCCCCAAACTTCTCTGAGTATCAAAGGAAAACCACTGATCACACTTCTCACACTGAGATTCATTCCTTCAAACATTTATTGACCATCTACTAGGCAAGTAGGAAGGTATACAACTGTTATCTCCAGAATCTCAGTCCAATGGAACAGATTAATGTACTTATATGTTAATACAATGCAGAAAGGTGGAATATAGGTAAGGGCCATGGGTGGAGGTCATCTGAAAAGGCTTTAGCTGAGGTGACAGAACTTAAATACTAAGTTGTACATATACTGAATGAATAGTACTTCATCATTTTAGGAAACAATTTAACATTTTTAAACATATGGGTTTCTTATATGAAAATTTAAAAATAGTGAAAAATGCAGTTTAAAATGAAAGTGTCAACTACGCAACATTTCCACACTATATTGTTATCATTTCACTTCAAAATAAAAAAAAAATTTAAAAATGCAAATTTTAAAGTTACAAATCATACCCGCTGATATAGCTATCTCAGAGAATCCACAGGATCAAGAGGTATGAGGAGTACAGTAGTTCCAAAAAGATCTAAGCAATAAATAAAGTCTAGAGAGGGATTCTTCTCTAAAAGCAGCGTGTAAATTAAGAAGAACATTTACACAGGGAAGCAACATGGCATGACCCTTTTCTTAAAATGTGAACCAGTACACTACAGGGAGCATCGCTCAAGATAACGATGCAACTGAGAAAGGGCAAAAGCTCCCAAAAGAGAGGCTATCATCAAATAAGAGATGTTTATATTACATTTAGAGGTAATTTAATTCGCCTTTATAGTTTAAAAGTATTTTCTCAAATTTGGGAGATTTGTACTCTTGCTATACCTAAAGAAACCAGTTTTTCTTCTTTCTTGTCACATTTTTTGTTTTATCAGCTAAATAGGAAATTGCCTAGATGCTGAGAATGACTATCAACTCACTTTTAAAAAGTATGGTCTGTCTCATAAGCAAGTTCCAAGCAAACAGGTTTCATTCTAGTCTGCATGGCAAATGGAGGAGTTTCTTCTTGTGAAACTACTGGGTGCCCAGAGGAAATACAAAATAACCTATTTTCTAATTTTTGGTAAAGCTGAAAAACATGCTTAATTATTGTATTTTTTAAGCAAGATACTGACAAAGATAAAAATTAAAACAAAACAAAACAAATTCATTTCTAACTCTTGTCCCTATTTGGTCTGTTTCCTCTTCTACTCTATATCAGTAACCATCTTTTATTAATTTTGTTTTTAACCATTCTAGCAGTTGGGCTAACAGGGGAATATATGTATGTTTGTATATGTGTATGTGTATATTTATTCCTCCTTCCCTTATCAATATACCAGGGCATCTCCAAAGATCATACTGAAGAGTACACTAGAGCTCTATTTTTCTGAAAATATTTTAAATAATTTAGTAAAAGCTTCTGTGTTCTACTCCCAAATAACATATTTTAAAACTGCTATCACTGACTATTGAAGTGTTCTGGAGTTAGGTGTGGTACTACATGCCTATAATCCCAGTACCCTGGAAGCTGAGGCAGGAGGATCACCGAGGATCCTAAGTACAGAGTGAGTTCAAGGTCAGCCTGGACTATGTATAGTGAGATCCTGTTTAAAAATAAGCAAGCAAACAAACAAATACCCACTAACCAAACAAACGAGAAAGTATTCTGGATAGTTATTTCAAGGGTGGGGAACTGTGCCTGCCTTGCAAGTGCACTGTGCCTGCCTTGCAAGAGCAAGGTCCTGAGTTCGATTTCCTGTACCAAAAACAAACAAGATAGTTATTTCCAAATCAAGGGTTACCAAATTTGGTTGAACTTGTAGTATGTTCCCATTAATCTTTTATGATTCACTGAACACCCTCAGTGCAGCTTTATTTTACAAGTTCTATTGTATTTAAAAAATTAGGGAAAAAGAATTGGGATCTATGGGGAGACTATTTCCACCCCACTATTTTTTCTCTCCCTATGCCTTAACTTCTGATTCCATTCTTATTACTTCCACTCCCCCTTATTTTTTTCCTTTCATATTTTATATTGACAAATGCAAAAGACTGATTCGTTCACCAACTATTTATTATGGGCCTTTTATAATTATGACTCCTTTTAGTACAGGTATGCTAACATTTACTGAAAACGCATTATAAATCAGGTATCCTAGAATTGCTTTACCTGTATTATCATTTAATCTCTATTAAATTCTTTATTTCCTTTGCAGTTGAGGAAAGGAAAGTCAGAACATGAGTCAGAGAGGTTAACTAAATTACTGCTAATAAGTCAAAATTTGAACTGAAGTGTATTTATCAACAAAACTTACGTTCTTAATCATTATATTCTAGAAAGGTCAGATAAATTTGGAGAATGCCACGAAGCTCAGATATAAGAAAGAACAGGATAATACATCGGGCTGCAGAAGTAGCCAGCTCAGATCTCAGATTAGTACAATCTAGTCAAGACACATGATTTTCATTCTAAAGGGTATGGGAACAATCAGGAAGTTTTAAGCATATAAACATGACTAAATCTGAATTTAAAAAGACTGGCAGAAGACCCATGGATTGTGAAGACCAACAGTGGATTAGGATAAAGGCAAGTAAATAATTAAAAGCACAGATAAAAGATAATAGGGTTGAGCCAAGAGCCACGGCCTGCCTCCAAAGCAGAAGGATTTGAGTTTGACCCCTGGTACCAAAAAAAAAAAAAAAAAAAAAAAAAAAAGATAAGGTTGTGAACAAAATATATGTAACCACTTGATATAAAGTACAGATTTAAAACAAATTCCCTAACTTTAAATTTTAAAAGTTATTTGTCAGGGTTAAATAACCTAAGTTTAAAATACTTTTTAGTATATGTGCTGCTGAAGTGAGCACAAAAATACTTTCTGATAAAAAGATTTCCAGTCTAATCAAAGGGAAAGGCATAACTAAAATATTCAAAATTATGGACTTCTAAAGTTCTGTATACTAAAAACAATGTAAAAATATATTAGTTACATTAGTTGGATAATTGTAATTATAAATTAAAAATTCCAAAACTTTTCCACTGTCAAGTCAAACTCCTTCGTTTTACAAATAATACAGAGATAACAGAAACAATAATTTTTCAACTTTTATACAAATACCTGCAATTTTTAAAAGTTCCTCCAAAAAGGAAGGAAAAAGTGAAGCATGCTAACAAGCTAGTAAGTGTGGGATCATGTATTAGTGTTGTATATTTAGAATTTATTTAATCCTTGTATCTATTTTATATATTATGCACATTACATATGCAGTATAGAGAGCTGAATCTTGCCAAAGGCCACATGACTATCGGACACCAAAACTTCATTTCTTTTCATCACAGCACACTAATGACAACATGAAACAAGTTAAAAACGTTTTCTTTCAATGTTTAAAAGACACCAGATTTGTATTAATAAATTAAGAGATCATTGAACACTGACCTGTAACATGCACCTGGATACAACAACTTCAGGTACTTCAGGGAATTTTTGTCGCAGGTCACGTAAAACCTGAAAATCAATTTGGTGGCTTCCTTGGGCCATTCGTATATTGCCTGATCAGGACTATTTGTACAGTAGGCAATTCTAGGCCTTAGTGGAATTAGTACTCATCTCTTCTGTCCAAGCATTTTCTGTGAAAGAAAGAAAAAAAGTTTTTGAAATGAGAATTGATCACAGAATAAAAATTACTGTGGACTTAAAATTTCAGTACAAAAAGGCATGTGCCTTAGCATCCAACAAAAACTATGAAAATATTACTTAGGGCTATAATGCTCCCCATGTAGTTAATACCGTCTTTTCAGGATAACTCCCAAGGACACATTTTTACACTAATTCCTTTTTATGTGGAAGTGCAGGGTCCTGAGTTCAATACATGGTATGGGGTTGGGGGAAAATAAATATAAGACATAATCTCTGAAACTAATTTATAGTATTTCTTTTAACTTCATGAACATTAATTAAAAAATAAAGTCTTTAAATTTTATGAATATAGGAATTAGGTCTTTTGTTCACTATTGTGTATCTAACACTTTAGTGTTACAGCATAATAGATGAGGGCATTTTAAAGTACATTTGCTTATGACAAAATTCCGGAGTCCCCAAAAGAATAAAAGGTTATTCAGATATTATCATTCAGTTGAATTTTACTAAACTTTTGATGATATGACTTCAGTTATATCTGAAGGTTATATCTCATAGGTAAAAATCACTGGCAAACGAAGTTATTTGCAGTACAGATTTCCTAAAAGTATCTATGTAAACCTCCCTCCTGCAGCAATTTTAGCAAAGTACTACTCTACAAGTTTATTGCAGGAGAAAAGAGAAATACTGCAAATTGTAAATGATATTTTAAAATAATTAAGTGGTGATAAACAGGCTACAGAACCGCTCACCTTCAGAAAGCCTCCCGCGATTCCTCTTCAGCTACCTAGCCCATTTCTCTGTACCTCCCTCATTTTGGGCTAAAGCTCCTTGAAACAACTACTCTGTCATCCTTTAAACAATTTCTTCATTAGGCTTCTGAGATTTATACTCTTTCATTTTATTCTTCTATTTACTAGCAGCATCTTTTCAGTTTTCTTTGCCAGATCCTCCTTTTTCTTTATACCTAATTGTTGGCAGCCAAATGGACTTCAGATATAGGGTTTCTTTCCAACTACACCTACATTTCTCTTTAAGGTATTAAAGAAAGGTGTATTTCATTCAAGTATACCTCTTCAAATAGCATTATACACTAAGACTTGACAAAACTGTCTCCAAATCCAATCCTTTCCTTGAGCTTCAGAATAACAATATCCAACTGTTTATTTGACATTTTGTTTGGCTAAAACTCATTTCAAACTTACCATGTCCAAAATGGAGCTTTTAATTCCCCTATATCCAAGTTAACCCTTTCTGTCTTTTCCATTTCTTCACTCATCCAGCTGATCTTTTTCCCATACACATTTACTCTACCATCATGTCTTTTATCTACAAAAAGTACTTTGAATCTGATCACTTTTCCCCACCATTAACTACTTCTCTCTGAGCCACCATATAGACTATTTACTACCATCATGTCCCCTAAATGGCCTCCTCACCTTCATTCTTTGCTCTGGCTTTTTTCTAGTGACCATTCAACTTTGTCAAAAGTAATTAGAGCAAGCACTCCCTCTGCTCAAAATGGGACCTCACAAGGCCTCTTACTACCATTTCTCTACTTTATCTCTTAGCATTCTCCTTGTTCCTTGGTTCTAAATGATCTTCTGGAGACTTCTCAAAGAAACTAATCAAATTCCTCACTTTGAGCTTTCAGATTTACTGCTCCTACTGCTTGGAACACTTTTCCCTGAGATACTTGCATGGCTCTCCCTCTTACTTCATTCAGTCTCTGATCATATGACATTTCCTCAGAGACTGCTTCCCTGGCCAACTTTTCTATCCAAAATGCTGCCATACTTCTGTCTCTCTCCCTCCATCATATCCTCATCACACTGCTTCCTCTCCCTCTACCCCATACTGGGGATCAAATCTAGGGCCTTCCAATGAACAACCCCCAATTTTTAAAAAATAAAGTCTTGCTAGGATGCTAAATTGCCCAGGTTGGGATCGAACTCCCAATCCTGTTTCAGCCACCTGAATAGCTGCAATTCCAGTTGTGTACCACTGTTGCCCAGCTTACTTTAGGTATACTTCCTGTATTGGCTGAACAGCTCTTGTAGACTAACTCTTCATAAATAAAAACTATGTACACTAGACAAAGTATAAAAAACAATGCTTGGAAGACAGAAGGCACAAAAAGAAATGGTGGCAGTGAGGAGGCCAATATTTGGAAGAGGGACTAACAGGGATGATCTTCCATTTTTATGTGGCTTTTAGTCAGAAAGCAGGCCTCAGTTGGTTTGGGTAACTAAGACTCAGAAGAAAATGTAGTCTTTATATGCTTGTTGAACCAAAGGGCAGTCTTTGGCATGACTTCAAAGGCTGAAAGAAGAGAACCACACAGAGGAAGCCCTAAATCCTTTGCACACATGTCTGATTTCTAAACCTGAGATAGAGTCTAGTAGCCAAGCTAAGGTTAAAGTAACTCATCGGAGATTCCAGAATTTGTAAATTGGATTCAGTCAAGTTAACTGTCCACTAAAATCAACCAAACAACAGGAAAAATGGATTCATGCTCAAGAGAAGACAATCAATGGAAAACAACCTCAAGATGATCAACTGGTGAAATCTGCACATAAGAATTCTGGAAATCCTATTTGATCCAGCTATTTTCACTTCTAGGTGTCTTCTTGAGTCATTTGTAGGAAAAATAGATGCACCTTGAGACGATAATGCTAAGTGAAATAAATCAGACATACAAACTTAAATATTACATGGTTCCTCTTATATGAGAAACTTAAATTATAAATAAAGACCAAAATAAAAGGAAATAGGAGGTGGGGACTAGATCTTTCTCAATGGGAAGAGGATCAAAAGATGGAGGGAGTGGAGGGAAAGGGACAAAAAGGCGGTTATGAAAGGAATTAAGATACATTTACCAACTCCACACAAGCAATATAAACATTACGTACTGCAAACATGTATTATAAAACAAAATAGAATAAAAAAGATTTTAAACAGCTATTTTACCTATGCTCATGAATGTAAGGGCAAATATGTTTGGAATTCTCAGCAAGAAAAGAAACTTTTTTTGGGAGAAGAATCAAATGGAAATTCAAGAACTAAAAAAATATCTGAAGTTAAAAGTATAATGGATGAACTTAAAGAGAGACTGGAAATGGCAGAAAAGTCAGTGAATTTGAAAGCAATCTGAAGGATGGACTGGGAAAAAAAAAAGGGTACAGAACCTTATGGTCCTGTGGGAAAGTTAAAAAAACTTATGTATCTGTCATTAGAGAAGAGAGAGAGAACAGAGAATAGGGTAGGGAAGATATCTGATGTAGTAATGGCTGAAAATTTCCCCAGGTTAATAAAAGGCAAATGTGTTAGTTTAAGATCAACAAATCTCAAAACAAGCAAACAAACCAAAAACCCACACATACAATCCCTTGCTCCCCCAAACCCAGACAAATTAACCATACAGAGGCACAATGTAGTCAAACTGCTGAAAAAACAAAGCAAAACAAAATCTTAAACATAGCCAAAGAAATGACATCTTATGTAGAGGGGAAGTGTTGAAAGGGAAACACTGAACTGTCAACTTACATTCTATACCTATAATAAGACTAAACTTTAAGGTTGAACGCTAGATGATTTTTAAAACAGCCTTTGTGAAGGAGTAAATGCATTATTGAAACAAACTGGTATCCGCTTAATTTCCAAGTGAAAAATCAAGAAATACCTCAATAAGCTTCTGGAAAATTATTTTTCATAGTACACAGCCAACATATTTTCTGTGGTTGAGATATAAAATGATTGTTCCTCTGAGAAAAGAAGATATAAATAAATCATACTTAGAAAATGTTTCCAGCATTAGGTGCAGTTCTAGTACCTAAATTTCCCCCAGCTATAAAGACCTAAATCTGGGGCCCGGGATTTAGCTCAGCGGTTCGGTGGCTTACCTCGCAAGCGCAAGGACCTGAGTTCGATCCCCGGTACCGGGGGGGAAAAAAAAAAAAAAAATCTGATCATTCCTGACCATACTCCTCTTCCCTCTTCCACCCAGCCAGACAGGACGGGTTTCATAAAACTTTCAAAAAGATGATGATGACAGTGGTACTTTGATTCACAAACACTTTCGTTTGGAAAAATTTTGTTTTTGTTTGTGAACTCTAGATCTGGTGATGAATATAGCTGCAGCCATCTTTCCCCAAATTGTGGAACAAATTAAATTCTTGAACCAAGCCACCAGTGTATTATGCTAACTTGTTCCAAAGTCTAGGCAAATTACATTTCTGCCATTTACTTTAAAATACCATCATCTTCTGATGCAAAAATCTGGTACACACAAATGAGACACCTACGTACTACCAGCATTATACTTAAGAAAAGTGGTACATAATTTAAAAATAAAATACAGTAAAATCCTGGTTTTCAAGAATAATTTATTCTGCTCGTAATCTGAAGCACTTGTATATCAAAGAAGACACAGAGGGAAACAGAAATGAGTTGTGATGATGTGACATTTGGCATGAGTACTTACTACTTGTATAATAAGACATCACTTGTTTATTGAGTTAAAATTTATTAGAAATGTTTGCTAGTCTTGCAGAACACTTGCAGACCAACTTACCTGCAATCCAAGATTTGACTGTATTAAAAAATGAAATATAGCAATTATACAGTTTGCTTTATTATGGGTCTCTAAGACAGCTTGACCTACTTATTATACATCTATTATATTAATATTGTACAGTTAAAGGGAGATACAACTCACCTTTGGTTCTATCAAGATAGAAACTCAGCTTTGGTTCTACCAAATTAAGCCAATTCAGAATCTCTTCTGCCATAAAGAATAAGAACTACCAAAAAAAAATTGGTTTAATACACAGCAGAGCGTGAAATTTAAAAATTCCCTGGTGTCCAAAACCATAAAGATGGGATTAAAAGCCAGTACAACATGAGCAATAGTCAAAATGCTGTGTTGCATGGTATAGTGAGGACAAACTGGCAGGAGAGGGGTAGTAGTTACTAAAATTGGATGCACTGAAATAGGGATTTTAATGCTATGTGGAATAGAGAGACTACAGGTCCTCCTTTGGGAGGTGATAGATAAGAAGGTGGAGAATTCATGAATGGAATTAGTGTCTTTACAAAAGAGGCCAAGGGGAGTTCACCTGCCCCTTCTACCATGTGAGGACACAGCAGCTCAAAGGTGTAAACTATGAACCAGAAGATAGGTCCACTCTACACTCACACTCTGATCTTGGACTTCCTACCCATCACAACTGTGAGAAATAGACCTGTGGTGTGTAAGCAGCCTACTTTGCAGTATTTTGTAATAGCAGCCTCAATCAAACAACGTATCTGATTTCTGCAGCTTCATTTTAACTATCACTTATTTCAACGATCCACATGTATGTATTTTAAAAAGTTGAGTATTAATTTCAGTCAACTCTCAATTTTAGTCACAAGATATTTTGATATCCTATGCATAGTAAGGCCATTGCTAAATCCTCCTCCTCCTCCCCCTTCCCTCCCCCTCCTCACTGAGCTAAATCCCTGGCCCCAAATTTTCTATAAATACTTGTTAATGGCAGTTACTATATCTTTACAGAGTAAAGAAAAATTACCATGACCTCTAGTTAGTAAGACATGAACATTGGTATTCTTTAAGACACTGGGGAATAATATTAAGTAAGAGAGAACAAATTCAGTAATTCCAATTTAAAGAAATCTATGTACAAGCTCGACATATCACTTGGTCATTTATCATTTCTCTAAGTTCATTTCAAGGGAGTTTTAAGTATTACATGGAAATCAAGTTTTATTTTTTGTGGCAATATTTGAGGAATGTTACTGCTTTACAGTTAGGAAAGTTTCTTTACTCCTGGGCTTTAGTATGTACTGCAGCTCTTGGGTAGTAATGGCAGATGCAGTATTTCTCAAACTTAAATGGGCAGCATTCCACTTATCTGTAAACATCTTGAGTAGAAAACACATGGGGAAAATGCTGTCTTATAAGGCAGTTAATCAAAACATGGTGGTATCTTCTGACTTTGAAATTTGTCTATATTTAAAATATATGCAAACTACAGTTCAAGACATAGCTTTCTAATAGCAAACACATAGAAAGATCCAAAAAAACCTAACTTTTGGAGAGCTACTTCACTAATTGTAATGTATCAGTTCTTGACTATCACAGAGATGCTCAAACACAACAACCTCACAAAATCTAAGGAAATGGGCCGAGGTTATAGCTTAAGGGCATGGTGCCTGCCTGCAAGTACAAGGTCCTGAGTTTGATCCCTGGTATGAGGGGTGCAGGGATCCAAGGAAACGGTGATACAGTTTTTGGCAAAAACTAAAAACATTGTAAAATAAGTCATTTCTGTTGGGAGAAAATTAAGATGAAGGAATATAAACAAAAAATTTTGTGTAAGAGTGGCAGGATCATGTAAACTTTTGATCTGTTAAAAACAATTATGAAAAACTGGGGATTATGGCTTAGTGGTAGAATGCTTGTCTGATATGTGTGAATCCCTGGGTTTGATAACCAGCACCATAAGAAAAAAATGCTTAATATCAAAATGTACATTAATATATTATATAGTGTAGGTAAAAAGGAAATAGGCACTGTAAGGAACTGCTAATGCAATCTCTATAGATATCAATTTGGCAATCTCTATAAAAATGAAAACTGTGTATGTTATCAGATTTCATAATTACTTTTATGAATCTGTTGTAGATACAGCTGCAAAGAAATTACACATATTCACCACAGTACTGTTTGGAATTACAAACTATCAAAAACTACTTATTAAGGTGTTTTAACAGATGAGGAAAAAAGTGCCAAATTTAAAAAGATGTGTATTTTCATGTAAAAAAGGTGATTCCTAATCAGAAAAAGGGTGTACTTCCTAGGGAAGCACTTTTAGTTTGGTCTGTGGGCCACCTATGTCAGAGGCTCTGAGGACAGGGTCTAGACACTTTAATGACTCCGCTGTGAACCCTCTATGATGGGTGTAAAGTGACAACTGGTCACACAAATGTTTTTTTCAAGTGAAATTTACTCTGGTTCCTATATGGCATCTAGATGATAATACAGTAAAGGGGAGGTAGGGAAGGGACTAATCAAAAACTAAGATGACTATAGTCAAGCAACTACTTCTAAGAAGAGCATGTAGCATTAATACAAAGAAGGAAAACAGAATGAGCTAGAAGTAATGGAATAAAAGATTATTAAAATAACTCCATTATCAACAAGCCTCTAATAGGAATGGTTAGAATTTTTTCTGTAATTTGATGCTACTGGAAAGAACTGGTAGGAGGGAAAACCACTTCTGTATGAGTATACAAATGGGTCCTGCAAATATATATATATTAGCTTAAGACAAATAAACATGTTATCTTTAAGTCAACTAAAAATGAAGATTATATATTATAAAATACAAACTATTAGTTTACTACCAAGGAGTATCATAAAGAAGTAAATAGTGGAGAAATGCTGAATCACAGGCAATCCAACTTTTTTTTTAATGTTTTGAGACAGGGTCTCGTGTAGTTCAGGCTGGTCTTGAACTCACTATGTAGCCAAGGGTGGCCTTGAACTTGCAGCAATCCTCCCGTCTCAGCCTCCTGAGTGGTGGGATTATAGGCATGTGCCACTATGCCCAGTGAAATCCAACTTTTAATATAAAACGAGTAACTGTTAATGTACTTTCTTATCAGCTACTCAGATTTACAGAATTTTAACTTGACAAAGTACTGACTTGTATTATTATAAGTCTTCATTCCCTTTACCTCTACCCCCGGTACTGGGGATTGAACCTAAGGCCTTGCATATCTAAGAAAGTGTCCTACCACTAAGCTATTACCAATCTTACTAGTTGAAACTCTTACAGAAAAAGACATTAATGAGTAAATATTCACTCTCAGACAGGCATACATTTTTCTAAAGAGGAGAATTTCCTAAGTACAGAATTTTAAATAAATAATACTCTACTTTAGTCATTTGTGTTTCTAAAATTTTTTGGTGAAAAAATGCTAATAGTTAAAAACAGAGGTAACCTCACATTACTGAATATTCCAATCTCCTAACTGGAAATTGCCTCATTCACAACTAAATGAAATAATGTATATAAATAAATAAATTGATAAATTAATTAATTCAACATATAGCAATAGCTAGTCCAGTAAAAATTCTAGGGTTCCATGTTTATCAAGCATGATCTGCCAGTTGTACTGTCTTCTTGGGAAAAATCACTGAATTTCTCTGTGTCTCAGTTTCCTCCTCTATAAAATGGTGATTAAGGAAAGTAGCTATCTTATAGGGTAAGGGGCAACCCATGTAGAATAACAAAGTACACAGTGAATACATATCCCCCCCAAAGAGTGATATTACCATCTTATTCTTTGTAAAATGGAAAAAGCAATTCAATAGCTTCAAGGATAAGTAGAAACACATTGAAGGTTAATTGTGTTACACCTGCTTGGCCAAAAGAAAAAAAAAATACAAGCTAATAGTAATACCAATTATTTATTTTAAATACTGTGGATTTTTACAAAGCAAAAAGAAAATGAGTAAACAGAGCTACATGCTATGTTGGATGCAGAATAATGAAGCTGACTGAACCTTTGAGGTCTTCTTTTTCAATGTAGATGAGACAAATAACTGAGAAAACTACTGGAAAACCCAAACAATACAAGGTTGTACATAAGTGCTAGGTTAAGTAGTGTATACTGTGCTATAGGTACACTGAGGATCTTTATGGACTGAGGGAGTGGCGCAGCCCTTAAGTAGATATTTAAATAAGGTTAAATC